ACACACACACTATATTTATTTAATACCTTTAGTTACTTTACAGATGTGGATGAATGATGTGAAATATAATCAAGTGTTAAATCAGACTTTAGTTCCACCTGGAGTAAATCCACAAGCTACCCTGCAGTATACAAAGTCATTCAAACTAGCTTCACCTTTACCAGCTTTGAGAACACTTTAATGATCAATCATTATAAAACATATCATATCTATTATTCTGAAACCAGACCAGACCAATCTGCACAATGATAACTTTTACTTTTGATACTTTTACTTCAGTAACATTTTGAATGCAGGACTTTTACTGCAACAGAGTATTCCTACACTCTGGTACTTTTACCCAAGTAACAGATTAGTACTTCTCCCACCACTGCACAGCAACCTAGTGACACTTTCAAACATTGTATGCTTTCAGATTGAATCGGCTGATAGAAACTACTATCTCAGCCATCTTTGACATGTCTAGTCAAACAATAACAACCTGATAAAGCTGATTATCTAATCCGTGCCGGTGTTTCTCAATACTTTTACCTCAACATGTCTCCACATGCGGGCTGGCTGAGATTAAAGTATTGTTCTCACTCACCTGACACGGAGTGGACCCAGGTTGTCTGTGGTTGGAAGTGCGACGTGTTAAAAAATAAATAAAGCCCAGAAAGCACCTATTCGGTCCCACGCAGCTTTGAGGAGGTAAATGTTGTGCACGCGCGTCTTTTTGCAGGTGCATCTCATCCGGACAGGAACACATACCTGTAGGGAGTTACCGTGTCATCATCAGCGGTGACGCCCATTGCTGGTCACATGCTAAATATCCTCATCTACCTTCATTCACTCCCTTCATATCAGAGGTGGGAGAAGTACTCCGATACATGAGTAGAAGTATCAGTGTTGGAATACTCTGTTACAGTAAAAGACCTGTAATCAAAATGTGACTCAAGTAAAAGTAGACACGTATTAGCATCAACATATAGTTAGGCTATACCAAAAGTAGTCGTTGTGCAGATTGGTCCATTTCAGATATATATGATATGTTTTATAATGATTGATCATGAAAGTTTTCTTAAAGCTGGTAAAGGTGCAGCTAGTCTGAATGACTTTGTATACTGCAGGGTAGCTTGTGGATTTACTCCAGGTGGAACTAAAGTCTGATTTAACACTTGATTAGATTTCACATCATTCATCCACATCTGTGAAGTAACTGAAGGTATTAAATACATGTAGTGGAGTAAAAGTACACATGTACCTCTGAATTGTAGAGGAGTAGAAGTACAAAGTAACAAAAATATAGAAATTCTCAAGTACAAGTACCTCAAAAAGTACAGTGCTTGAGTAAGTCTACTTAGTTACTTCCCACCGTTGTGCATTGATGCATAGTTAAAGATGCTTTTGTTAAGATTCACATGACCTTTTTTTTTATATCAAAACACACCTCCCTCCACACCTTGTATTTATTGATTACTAAATATAACTGTGCTTTAGAAAAAACTATTATGTATTTAAACCAATGTTCTATGGACAAAGGGTGCTGGAGAGAGTGCTATGCAGACAGACCTGTTCAGCTGCTCTAACTGCATCATCTGAAACAGCAGTCAAACACACACACACACATATTCTTCTTTATCCTCATGTTTTAATTATTTGGGAGTAACATGATGAAATAATCGGACAGCGGAGTTCGGACTCGTACACATTCACACAGCAAAGTACACGACACTGCACAGCGTGAAACACAACCGTAAAAAGAAAAAGGACGACAAAGCCTTCACGTGGAACGCTGGCAATAAATAGGCTGATCTTATATTCAATACTCTTCTGTACAGATGGTCCATGAGTTACAATACATCAACCGAATAATCGTCTCAAGGCAGAGCAACACGGATACACAAAGAAATCATGTAAACAGAGAAAGGAAGAAACAGGGTGGAAGAGATCCCTCTTTCGTACACACACACACACACACACACACACGACCAACGACCATGCAGAGGGCCCAGAGTTTGCCTACATGTATGAGGCAGAACATAATAATGAATACAGTACATCTTTCTCTTGTCCCTCCACATGAATTTGCAAACACTCGGTCACAAAGGGAGCACCGGGGATACAGGGAGGAGGAATGTGCTTCTGCAGCGGAGAGATGAGAGGGTTGAGAGAGGCGGCGGATTATTCCTCCAATGTGCGGAAACTGTTCTGCATGTCCTCCAAAAGCTGAGCATATTCGGCCTTGATCTTGGCCTCGCCCTCCTTCACCGGGTCCTGCAGCGACGAAGAAATACAGTCAGGACAGAAAAGCTCACTCTTGACACATTGGTTATGTTAAGAGTTCAAAGATGTATTTAAAGTTCCCATCGAAAACATACTTAATGTCTAACATGGCATGTGCAGACCCAAGTTTTAATAGTGTTTAGGTTGAAAACACGTCGCCCTTTTATCTTGTAAGTGTCAGCTTTATGTGAATATTTGTTGTTTAGTTTGTTAGCAGGATTATGGACGAACTAGTGGAAGGGTGTTGATGAGCCAAGGAATCACATTTTGGAAAGGATCCATATCTTTGGTTTGACTTCCTTTCATCTTAGAGTCTCAGAACTTACAAAAGATAGCGAAAAGTCTAAAATAAAAAGAGAAACCATGCTGACAGTATTGATCAGTATTTTTGCTATTCTATGAATTCATCACGACCCACCTCTTCAACTCTGTATATCCATAAGCCCCCCCCCTGAGTGCTTTTCTGTTTTATTGCCCGTCCTTGTTTGTCCCTTCCCAAATGACACACACACACACACACACACACACACACACACACACACACACACACACACACACACACACACACACACACACACACACACACACACACACACACACACACACACACACACACACACACACACACACACACACACACACACACACACACACACACACACACACACACACACACACCTTGAACTTCATGGCGCTGAGCCGGTAGAGGATCTCTCCCATGTGCTCTTTGATCATGGCCCAGGTGACCCTGTGGTCGCTCTGAGCCGTGGTCTCCACTGCGTGCCGCGCCATGTCGTAGAAAGCGATCATGTTGGACAGGATGCCCACCGTCTTATAGAAGGGACAGAACCTGAGGAGATAGACACGGAACAATCAGTGAGAGACACCCGACAGTGGAGTCTCACTTTCTCTCCATCTTCTTGAACTGCGAGTGTGACCGAAGGGTTACCTGTCGTACGGAGTGTAACCGTTCTGCTGCAGGAAGTCGTCTTTGATCAGTTTGGCAACTTCAAGGGTGATCTTATCCGATTCTGCCAGAGATGCCTGTTACGAAAATCAAATTTAAAATGTGTAGGAGCAAAAAATATATGGTTTAGATGGGATTTTCTACTATGCAAGTCTGCCTTTGAAGCTACAATCAGATTACAGCTAATCAAAAAGGATCAAACCGGCGCCTTTATGATGAAATACCTTTCCGACGAGCTGCACGATCTCCGCCAGGTCCTCCTCCTCCTGCAGGATCTCCTTGGTTTTGGTGCGCAGAGGCACAAACTCTGGGAAGTGTTTGTCGTAATGCTCATCGAGAGCGCGGGTGTATTTGCTGTAGCTGATCAGCCAGTTGACGGAGGGGAAGTGCTTCCTCTGAGCCAGCTTCTTATCCAGACCCCAGAACACCTGAGGGACGAGATCAGGGACTCATAAAGTAAAGGCCTGAGCAACTTGAATCAATAAAGCTTGAAAAGGAAAATCTGAATTTGACAATTTACCTGTACAATACCCAGGGTGGCGGAAGTGACGGGGTCAGAGAAGTCTCCACCAGGGGGCGACACACTGAGGAACAAACACATTTAAGCTTTGTATTCTACTTATTTTAACATCCAAATAATACAAATAGAAAATAATAGAATGTCTCCCTCTGGTGGACAGAGGCTGTACTCACGCTCCCACGATGCTCACGCTGCCCTCCCTCTCAGGGTTTCCCAGACACTTCACCCTGCCGGCGCGCTCGTAGAAGGAGGCGAGGCGGGCGCCCAGGTAGGCCGGATACCCGCTGTCTTTGGGCAGAAACAGGAAGTACTTTAACGGGTAAAAGAAACTCTGTCCACCATCAAAGCAGACATATATTCACATATAACACCGCTGTAATTAAAAAGTCGTTTCAGTGGTAGTTACAATAAACCTAATGGCAGATATACCGAAGCTTAACTCAGCTCTTTTTATAATATCCAGGAGACTCCAAACTCACCAGCAGGCATCTCAGCCAGACGTCCAGAGATCTCCCTGAGAGCCTCGGCCCAACGGGAGGTGGAGTCGGCCATCATGCTCACATGGTATCCCATATCCCTGAAGTACTCAGACAGCGTGATTCCTGCCAATACAAGCTACAGTCAGCATCCAGCACTCACGTGAGAACACAAACATGTGATTTATTGTAAACATACGAAACGTACCTGTGTAGATGGAGGCTTCTCGGGCGGCCACAGGCATGTTGGAGGTGTTGGCCACCAGCGCTGTTCTCTTCATGATGCTCTCCGTCTTCCCGTCCACCTCCATGGTCAGCTGAGGGTCAGAACACACTGTCAGTCACTCTGAACCTCATCAAGGGGAAGTATGTAAAAGCTTGAATACACTCAATGGCTGGGGCTCGTAAAATAAAGAGCTTTTTGAACATTAAAAGGAAACATCAAATCAAAGTTTATTTATAAAGCACATTTAAAAGCGGTTTTGCCAAAGCAGAGTCCTGCATCGGGTCGGGTCTCCGCGGGTACCCGACGGGTGAACCGCAAAAAAGGTGATTCGCGGGTGGTATTTTTTCAAACACTGTTTTCCGGGTTCGGTTCTGGGTAAAACAAAGATGATGCGGGTCGGGTTGCGGGTGTTGCATAATAAATATATTTAAATAATAATAATTTAGTTTAATGTTTAAATCCTCGGACCTCTCCCCCGCGGGACCGAGCATAATCATAACCTCTGCAGCGCATCTATGTGCTGCTGAGCGCGCCACATTCTGAATGACTGAGGTGAAGCTCTCTACGGAGAATACAGCATTTTCAATAACTCTTCCTCAAGAGCGAAATCCAACGTCTGGGAGGCTTTTGGTGTCCTCCTAGATGAGAGAATAACCAACATCCCACACTTTTTGAGCCAAATATGCAACTGCGTGTGTTAATAATTGCACGTTTTCACTGCTTATATATATGCGGGTTCGGGTCGGGTTGCGGT